GGCGGGCCCGGGCTGGGGATTCGAACCCGCCACCTTAGGTATATGTGGCTGGCGCCTTAGCTGCTTGAGCCACAGGCACCAAGCCAGAAAACTTTTAAGTTAAAAACAAACCTTTCATTCTTGTTTTCTGAAAGAAGAAACTCATCAAAAATGGAAAATGGTATACTGGGACCTATAGAAAGAAAGATTAGATATAAACTTTAGGAGTAAATGCTTTACTCTTCAAGACAACTAGATTAGTTAACATTTTGTGTTGTTTGAAAGCAGAAAGGCAATTTATATTTTTATAATGAAAGATCTTAAACATACAAAAAAGGTCATTTAATAATTTAACAATCACCTAAACAGATTATCTTATTTCATCTAGATTCCCCACCACTGCCATCATTCCCAACTCAACAAGATCCTAAAGCAATCCAAGATATCATATCATTTCATCTATAAATACTATAGTATCTATTTCTAAAAGAGGCTTTTTTTAAAAAGCCAAATCTCAAAACATGATACTTTTTTTTTTTTGAGACAGAGTCTTACCATGTTGCCCTCAGTAGAGTGCCATGGCATCACAGCTCATAACAACCTCAAACTCTTAGGCTTAAGTGATTTTCTTACCTCAGCCTCCCAAGTAGGTGGGACTACAGGTGTCTGCCACAACGCCCGGCTAATTTTTGGTTGTAGTTGTCATTGTCGTTTGGCAGGCCTGGGCAGGATTTGAACCTGCCAGCTTCATTGTATGTGGCTAGCACCCTAGCTGCTGAGCTACAGGCACTGAGCCAAAACATGATACTTACTATATCAACAATTTCTGACTAACAAATATCCATCTGCAAGTTTTACATTTTACCTATTCTCTTTAAAAGAAACTGTTTTTTGCTTTCTTTAAATTTCAGGTTAATGTGAAGGTACAGATGACCAAATCACAATATTTGAATTTATTAAGTAGATTCCCTCTTGTAGCTATGTCCTGCATGCAAAAAGTGTGACATACACTCCTACATCGTGGCCATTCAGTGGGAACACCCTAAACCATCCCTCTGGTCCTTCCCCTTTATTATTCTCCCTCCAACTTGAATTGAAATGAGTTTTTCTCCTATGTGGGCATGAATTAGATCGTCTACTGGCTTCATTTTATATTTATTTATTTATTTATTTTTGAGACAGAGCCCCAAGTTGTCACCCTGGATAGAGTGCTATGGCATCACAGCTCACAGCAACCTCCAACTCTTGGGCTCAAGCCAGTCTCCTGCCTCCACTTCCAAGTAGCTGGGACTACAGGCACCTGCCACAACACCCATCTATTTTTTGGTTGCAGCCATCATTGTTGTTTGGCGGGCCCGGGCTGGATTCGAACCCACCAGCTTAGGTGTATGTGGTTGGCGCCTTAGCTGCTTGAACCACAGGCGCCAAGCCATACTGGCTTCATTTTAGCATTGAGTACAGTGGATATTTGCTTTTACAATTGCCAAGATGTGGAAACAAATACCCATCAATTCAGGAATGGATTAACATACTGTGTGGTATATACATACTATGGAAAAAAATTGTTTTTAAAGTTTGTTTGAATTGGAAATGCAGAGCCAAGATCCATATAGGGTGGCTGGTTCAAAAGCCACTTCTATCTCTTTTATTTTATTTGCCCCATAATGCTGGATTTTGCCAATTCTGCCCACCCATGTTGTTTAGCCATATTCCTCTATACATTGTATTTCCTATAAACAGTTGGTTAGAATTAGAGGTTCAATTCAATTTTGTTTGTTATTTTTGTTTTCCAAAACTATTTATAAGCAGATATTCATGCTTCTACCACTTTTAACATGTTTCTGAATGGAAAAGAAAACCAATTTGAACATAACGTAGCTTTAGTTTTAACTTTTATCCTCCAAAAAGCCAATTTCCTTTGTCTGGCTGTTGGTAACTACTGATATGCTTAGCCCATCATCTAGTAACTAAAGTAGAAGATTATTTGGTAATTAATACAAATTTAAATATTTTGAAGCACTGAAAAATCTCGAAGCATAAGATTACTCCAAATTTCTTGATTCAAAGACATAATAATACCCTATTCCCCCCTCTGCTTTTTTTCAATCCCGTTACCATAATTTAAAAAAATACTTATCCTTTGTTATCAGTAAGTACTTTACAAGGATGATAAGTACAACTCACCTTTAGAAGGAGGCTGGTCCTGACCAACGTTTTCTGCAAGTGTAGTGTCTCTGTGAAGAAACTTGTTTTAAAACATGCTCAATACCCTCAGAAAGAATTGTTAAAATAATTTTTAAAATCCAAGAGGCTTTTCCATCAAATATAATCTTTAAGATAAAGAAATTATTCTA